CTTCCTGTAATGTGGTGACCAGAATTGAACACAATACTCTAAGTGCAGCCGAACCAAAGTCTTACAAAGCTGCAACATGACATCCTGATTCTTGTACTCAATTTCCTTACCCGTAAAGGCAAACATGCCATTCGCCTTCTTCGCCACCCTATCTACTTGCATGGCCACTTTCAGGGAGCTGTGTACTTGAACCCCAAGGTCCCTCTGTACACCAGTGCTGTTCAGGGTCCTGCTGTTAACTGTATACTTTTCCTTAACGTTTGATCTCCCAAAGTGCAGCACCTCACACTTACCCGCATTAAACTCTACCTGCCATTTCTTCGCCAATGTCTGCAACTGATCTATATCCTGCTGTATCCTGTGACAACTTTCTACACTATCCGCAACTCCACTGATCTTTGTATCGTCTGTAAATGTACTAACCCACTTATTGACAGTTTCATCCAAGTCATTTTTATATATCAGAAACAACAGAGATCCCAGAATGGCACAACACCACTAATCACGGACCTCCAGCCTGAAATACACCCTTCCACCACTACCCTCTGTCTTCTGTAGGTAAGCCACTCAATGTGGCCAAGTCACTGTGGATCCCAGGCATCTTAATCTTCTGGATGAGCCTACCATGACGGACTTTGTTCAAAGCCTTACTAAAATCCACATAAACATCATCCTTTGCTCTACCCTCATCGATCACCTTTGTCACCTCCTCAAGAAATTCAATCAAATTAGTAAGACATGACCTGCCCTGCCCAAAGCCATGCTGACTGTCTCTAATTAGCCATGCTTTTCCAAATGTACACAAATCCTATCCCCTAGAATTCTGTCCAGTAGCTTCCCAACCACCTATGTGACACTCACTGGTCTGTGTTTTCTGGATTATCCCTATTTCCCTTCTACAACAGAAGAACAGCATCAGCCACTCGCCTGTCCGTTGGTACCTCTCCAGTGGCTAATGAGGATACAAAGATCTTAGTGAAAGCCCCAGCAATCTCCTCTCTTGCCTCCCTCAATAACCTGGAGTAGATACCATCAGGTCCTGGGGACAATCACCTTAATGCTCTTCAAGACTTCCTTCTTGATCTCAAAATGCCATACTGTATTAGTATGCTCCACACAAATATATCCTTCTCCTGGGTGAATACTGATGCAAAGTATTCATTTAGAATCTCACCCACGTTCTCTGCCTCCAAGCACAAGTTCCCTCCTTTATCTCTGAGTGGTCCTACCTTCTCTCTAGTTATCCCCTTGTTTTTAATGTATCCATAGAATGCTTTGGGATTCTCTTTAACCCTAATTTAGCATGATCAGTTCACCTAACCTGTACATATTTGGACTGTAGGAGGAAACCCACACAGACACTGGGAGAACGTGTAATACTCCACACAGTTGCCCAAGGGTGGAATCAAACCCAGACCCCTGGCGCTGTGAGGCAGCAATGAGCCACCATGCCGCCCCTTAAACATTTGTCAAAAATGATTTCCCTTTTGTGTCTGATTCTACCACTCCTTTCTCAGTGCCTCACTCCTGGGTTGACTGCACCTTCTCACAGTTGTCCCCTTATCTTTGTGCCTCAAGTGAAATATTTGAGCCTTTCCACACTCTCTGTCCTATTACTTGTTCTGGAAACTTTAATAACCCCTGCTGAGCCCTCCTCCCACTTTGACTTCTTCCTGAATTTTCCATGCAACTGACCCCACCCTCCCCCCCACTCCTTCGTTTAAAGCCCTATCCATAGCCCTAGTTATGTGATTCACCAGGCCTCTGGTCCCAGTATGATTCGGGTGGAGCCCGTCCCATTGGAATACCTCCCTCCTTCCCCAGTATCCCAGGAATTCAAACTTGTGTTTCTCACAGATTGATGTGAGAGAAACATTTACCTCTTGACTGTTGTTGCCCCTGTGCCAGTTAGCTCATGGCTCAGCTAATAATCCAGAGATCAACATCTTTTTGACTCGGCTTTCTCATTTCGCCCCTAGCCCCCCATACTCCGTCAGTAGAACACTTTCCCTCTTTCCACTGATATCGTTAGTACCTGGACCTTTCCCTTCCCACTCCAGTTCCTCTGTGACCCAGATAGGATATCCTGACCCTGGGCACCAGGCAGGTAAACACAGCCTTTGGGACCCTCGATCCTGCCCACAGTAAACAGTGTCCATTCCCATGACTACACTATCCCCGATTACAATGACATTTCTGTTTTGTGCCCCCTTTTGAATGGCCCCCTGTACCACGGTGCTCAGGTCAGATTGCCCATCCTCCCTACAGCCCCCACTCTCATCCACAGAAGGAGCAAGAATCTCAAACCTGTTAGACACACTCAAGGCCTGAGGATTCCTCAACACTATCTCCTGGGTCTCTCTACCTGCCTCACTGATAGTCACACTGTCGGACCACTGACTGACTTTAATCTAAGAGGTGTGACTGCTTCCTGAAACACAGCATCCAGGTAACTCTCCCCCTCCCTGGTGTGTCACAGTGTTTGAAGCTCAGACTCCAGCTCATCAACTCTGAGCTGGAGATCCTCAAACAACCAACAGTTGCTGCAAATGTGGTCACTATGAACCACAATAGGGTCCACCAGCTCCCACGTCATGCAGGTATGGCACATCACCGAGCCTTAGTTTGTAAATATTTCCCCAGTGTACCTGAACCAGAAGATAACCTGTAATGGATAATGAAATTAGTCACTTTCCAGAACCAAGCAATGAGCTGACAGTTTCCCTGTGATGCCACTGTTTTGTGCTGGTACCCTGATCCTAGGCTTCAATCTATGCTGTTTTAACAAAACTTTACAAACTTTGAGCCAAAAAATAACCAAGCAAAAGGCACCTGTTTCCCTGAGAATGTTGAAACTTATGGAATGATATGATCAAAGTCTTCAAATATGTCAACAGGAAAGGACAGGAGAAAGATCAACTATTTGCATAGGTTGGGGATTCTGTAACTGGGGGCCTGTGTGAGAGAGTTAGGGCCAGACTGTTCAGGAGAATTGTTAGGAAGCACTTCCACGCACAAAGGAGGGGAAGATGTTTGGACTCTCTTCTGTAACAGCACTGCATGTAAGATCCATTGTTAATTTTAGATATGAAATAAATTTTTGTTAAGCAGAGGTATTGAGGGATAGGAACCAGAAGCAGGCCCTTTATTTGTACTTGGAGTGAGGCCACAGATCAGTGATAACCGCATTGAAAGGTGAAACAGGCTGGAGGCACTGAATGGCCTGCTCCTGTTCCACTGTTCCGTTCTGTGATATAGAGCCATGGCCAGTCAGCTAATCCTTCACTCATACAGATTCTTGAGCCTGAGGGTCCTCCATGCCAGGCCCTCCCCGCCCCGCCCGAGCCCCCACCCCGCCATGCCCCGCTCCAGGCCCTCGCCCCGATGCTGTTGCCATCAAAGCTCTTCAACAAGAGTTTAGTAAAATAAGAGAGAAAGAAGAGAAAAGAGAGAAAAAAAGACCAATGTGAAATGGACATAGGAGATAAGCTCTGGGCTCAGAAGCCCTTCACCACCACCACCTTATCAAGAATATAGGCCAGACCAAGTAAGGATGGCAGTTTCCTTACCCAAAGGACATTAGTGAACCAGGTTGGTTTTTCCGACAATCGACAATGGATTCATGGTCATCGTTGTTAGATTTGGAATTCCAGATGTTTATTGAATTCAAATTCCAGCACTTCTGTGGTGGGATTTGAACCCAGCTGTGCAGACCATTACTTGGGTGTCTGGATGAATCAGCGAGTGATAATACCACAAGACGATTACCTTCACTGTGTCTCTGTCCCTGCAGGCTATTGAGATGGAACTGCGTAAGATGGAGGTACAACAGGCGAACAGACACGTCTCCTTACTCACTTCCTTCATGCCTGATTCCTTCCTGCGCCATGGCGGAGACCACGATTCCATTTTAGTCCTTCTCTTGATCCCACGCCTCATCTGCAAGGTAGGCCCTGCGCAACAGACTAGGCAGAAAGAGAGAGAAAGACAAGGTGAGGGAAGGCAGAGAGACAAAGGGAAGGGAGCAAGTAAGAGGGAGGAAGGGAGGGGCAAAAGAGCGAAAGGGACTTTGCTGAAAGAGTATCGCAATGTCAGAGAGTCAGTCCTGTGGGAGTACTGCGCTGTGCGAGGGTCAGTCGTGTGGGAGTACCGCGCTGTGCGAGGGTCAGTCCTGTGGGAATACTGCGCTGTGTGAGGGTCAGTCCTGTGGGAGGACCGCGCTGTGTGAGGG